CCGGGCGCTCCTCGCCGGGGGCCGCCAGGGGGCCGCGGGGCAGCGCGGCCCGGGTTGGGGGGGGCTGCCGGGGCCGCTCGGCGCTCCGCGGGCAGCAGGAGCAGGAGGAGGAGGAGGAAGGCTCCGAGCGCCGCGCTGCAGCGGGAGCCCTGCGCGGCCGGTGCAAAGAGCGGCCTGCGGCAGCGCGGCACTGGCCTCGGCTGCTCGGTGAGGCCCTCCCGTGTGTCCGTAGGGAACGTGGTCCCCTCCGTCTGGAGAAGGCGGCCCGTGCTCCATAGGCCGCTTCCTGGACAAAGCGCTGCGTCTGAGCCTCYCCTCTGATTTTGAAGCTGCAGCTTGCCCATCAGAGTAGCTTTTAGACACGCACACACGCACACCAACAAGCCCGTTCTCCCGCGGAGGGGTGTTCGCGCACTCCTGTCCCCTGCTGCGGTGGGTCGGGCGCGGAAGKGGTGCCCTGTCCCGAAGGGAAGGGAGCTGCTGCCAGCCCGGATCCACCCGCGAGGKCCGCGTCCGGAGGCCTGTCCTCCCGCAAGGTGTCTGCTCTCGGATATCTGTGTGGGTCTCATTTAACGAAAATTAAACGTGAACCTCATGTCTGATATTCAACATCTCCCGATAGGTCTGTGGTGGGTGTTGTGGTGGGGTTTTTTTTGGTTATGTGTGTGTTTTTTTTTGTTTGTTTTTTTTTTTTTGACAACATACTAGTGTTCTTGCTCTTTAAATAATGTATGGTAGTTATCAAATCGAAGCTGAGACTAAGAAGAAAATAGAAAAGAGTTTGAAGGCTTACCTAGTCTCATGGAATAGGTGCAGCATAAAAGGAAAGAATTTAGAGTATCACTTCTAAAAAGTTTACATTTTCTATTAAGTGTATAGTAATGAGTTAAACTTCTCTTTTTACTAATAGGTTATCAAAAGGAACAGGTAAGGGAGAAATGGGTTCATCCATAGGTTTGGCCGAAGATCCACACAGACTTCAGATATTGTTCAGCTGGTCTTGTTCTTGATGAACTTACACTTTAGTGTGGCATTGGTGTGTGAATTTTGCAGCRTGAAGACTCTTCTGAATTATTGTAGCAAAAGGTTTGTGGACTTAAAGGTAGTGTGAAAGGCCCCTGTGCCTGGCATTAAGCTATACCTGGAGTGCTACCGTGAATGGTAGAAGAGACTAAACGTGACTTCTGGGCAGAGGTGGGGGACAAGAAAATGGCTCTTGAAGTACTGGTGTGTTTGGGGCTCTAGTCGGAAGCGTTTGAGCAGACCGAGCGGTTACCGAGGGGCGCAGCGAGCGAGATCAGTGACTAAGACCAAGTYGGTGAAGGGAAACACAACCGCTTGTCCTCTCGCTGCTTTTAAAGTTATCTGGGAGTCAGGCTACGTATGGAAAAAGAGGACTCTGACTTGAGTTACTGTGGTTGTATTTCATTCCTACTTGGGTAATTGCTGGTCGTGTGTACTCCAGCTATTATAAATCCTGTGCAGAGTGTGTGTATATTTACGTGTGTGTGTGTACATATATATATATATATAGTGGCCTTTAGGGAAGACAGCAGCAGCATTTCACCTCTAGTGACCATCCTTATTGGAGGGAGCAGCAGAAGCACAAGTTTCCCACCTTTGTTCTTGCATCTTGTGCCAAGAACAGACAGTTGGGTGAATGTGGCTTAAATAGAACCAGCCGCAAGTCCAAGAAGGGACCACGAAAGCTGCTGTTCTGGCGCTTTTAGGCGGTATTATTGGTCTTGGTATATCTAGTGTCTAGTTCTTTGCAAATACTTGGCAGCTTGAGTTGTTTTCTAGCGTGGACTGTGGTGTTTCCTCCAGTGTTCTGTGCTTTGGTAGAAGAGGGGTGACAACTCGAGAAATAACCCAAGCAGAAGCTTTGTTGAGGAGTAACAGCACCGTGTGCACCTAGTTGGAGGCTTATCTAAAATGGCTTCTTGTGTGTTGAACCTCTGGGTGGCACAAGAGGTGGCAGCTTTGCTGGGGGTCTGGTGCAGTGTTGTCTGGGCTGGAGCCAGCACCAAGGCCCTGTGCTCAGTCTAGTCCTGACCACGTCCTCAGGACACGCAGTTGTCCTGGGACTTCTCTGGAGCCCTGAGCAGGTGTAATGTGTCCACACTAAGAAGCAGCAGCTGTTCCTAGGGCATGTGCTCCTCAACACCCAGCTTGCTGCTGGGCTGTATTTATATCGTGTGTTATATATTATGTGCTATGCAGGGTTTCTTTGGCAATAATTTTCTTAATTCTTGCCTGGGTACTCCCTGGTYGAAGAAGTTTGAGCCTCTCTTGTCCCAGGAGGTGTTTGGCTTTGGACAAATTGGATTGCATGTAACGACAACTGCAGAGTAACTGTGAAATGTAGGGATAATTAATGCTCCTTGTATCTTCATGCATATTTATTTCAAATATAACCAGAGATGGCATAAGATATATAGCAGAGRTCTGTAATGAATGATTTCTGTTTACAGTGTAAGCCAAAACACTTTGGATTCAGCTACATCCCTGTCTGCACTGGTTATTTYTGGGGAATATTCCCCACCCCAAGGACACTATGTAGAATTTAGAAGCCAGTTACCCTCTTTTGCCCCCCTGCAGGTGGGCAGCCCCGCTGAGCAGAGCCAGCGTGGTCTGCAGGATGCCTCGCCTCAGCACGGCTCCCTCGTGGTCCAGAGCTGCTTGACCCTCTAAAATGCCTAAGTGTCACTTGTGTCGAAGTGAAGCCTGCTGGCAGATGGCTTCCATCAGGTTTATGACCAGTTATGTGAGTGATATTGGAGTATAAAGTGTATGGTGTGTGTGCTGCCTGCGTTGCTCTGGACTCCCTCTCGTAGGGAGAGCCCCGTCCCAGCGTTGGGCTGCGTTTGTGGCACTGCTAGAGCTCCGTTCCCTTGTGCTCGATGCAGCTCGACTCTTTCTTGGGTTACTCAGTTAACTGATGGACTTCTGACAGCCCTGCGGACACTTGTRGGAAGTCCAAGACAGTCAAATGAGCCATTTCAAGTATTGAAAAAGCAGGTTCGGCCCAAAAGGATTAAAACTCTGCCGAAGATTACCATTATTCTGTTAATAGGGAGACGTAGCCTTAGAGCAGCAGGTGCTGTGGAGTGGCACAAGATCAGAGAGCTTCTGAACTTGCTCCCCTGACCTTGGCGTGCACGTGTGAGTGTGGCTTTGCGCACATGTACCGCTTCATGAGCAGGGACACAGCTATGGAGCAGTGTAAAAAGCCTTGTGAGAACAGGCCACTGCTCTCCATCCTGCGTGGTGGCTTCTGTAACACACCCATGTGGAACCCCCTGGGCTCGGAAATGCCTTCTAGGACCCCGGTGTGTCAGAGCTGCCCGCGTGGCTGAATCGTGACGCTGGTGCTCACGGGAGGGTGAGGAGGGGTTGCCACCAGTTCGACTGTCGCCCTGTTCCGAGTGCTCTGCCTGCTGCTGCCAAGCAGTGCCCAAGCGGCCCGAAATGTTCCTTTAGGGACAGTCCAGTTTTACCCCTCAGCCTTAGAGGGCTTGTCAAGGAAGGCTGCAGTGRTTTCAGGCAAAGGAACTTGACAGCAAAGTAAGTTTAAATCTGCCTTTATCAAGTTACTGCTGTAAGAAAATTGGGTTTATGAGGCTAATCTGCATCTCCAAGTACTCGAACTCCAGCTTCCTCAATCTGGATTAAGGAAGAAAGACAGGACCTCGTAGAGACTTTGCTTCCAAGTAGTTAAGAGTATCTAATATATTTAAATAAACTTTGGTAAAATTTCYTAGATTTGCAGGAAGAGACTGCTACAGCGCAATGGTGTCTACTGCTTGCTAGGTTGGCTTCAGAATTACCATTGTTCTTGCTGAAGACTGTATTGGCATTAACTTAAAATCTTTAAAACTAGCCTGATCTTCCAGGCAGGACAGTGTTGTCAATAGGGGCGTACGCAGGGTGCCTGCTTTGTTGAGGAGCAGCTTTGAACCTCGCTAACGGAGGCCTTTGGAGCTTGAAAAAAAGGTTCATGGTTAAAATTTAGAATAAAACTTGTGTTTGATGGAGCTTTAAAAACTTCCTATGTAGTTTGAAGCATTTGATTGAGATACAGCAGCTTTATTTATTATCCTAGTGGGATTTGTGGCACTGGCCCTTTGGTGTTCCCAAATCCTCCTGGCAGCTGGGAGGATTCACGGCTGTGGGAGCACAGCTGGTGAGCCTGTGGCACAGCCATATCCCCCATCCCTAGTAGAGTTTCCCGGGAACTTAAAAGCACAATCCCACTTCTTGGAGCTGAGCAGCCAACTTCTTGTTGGAAGTTTCGTGCCTTTTAATTAGGAAAACTAGTTCAGGGGTGTGTGATAGYGCTTGGTCTTTGGGCAAGGCTTCTTGAGTGTTGCTCTGCTGTGCAGCGTGCTCCAGCCTGCTTGTTCTCAGCGGGGAAGCAAGCGCTGCTTTCAGCCTGCAAAGATGGGCCAAGTTGATACCCGGTTTCCCTTCTTGCTGCCCTTGGAGCTATGCCCACAGCAGAGGGTAACTCAGCTTTACTGCTGCAAGCAGCTTGCTCCAGGGGAGCCTTCCACATGCTGAAAAATGAAGAATTCAACAGAAAGGGCGTCTAATCCCTAACTCCTTTAAAAAAAAAAAAAAAAGTGGAACTTTTGTATGCCTAAGGATTAGAAACGCTCTGGAATAGTAAGCAGTTTCAACTTGCTTCTGGTTTTAGTTTAAAACACAGTGTTGCTGAGATCAGAGTTCTGCTTGAGCAAGAAGCCATTCCTGACTGCTAGGAAATATGAGCAGCCCTTGGAACYTGGGATCTGATGTGTGTGGTAGTGACTGGCTTCTAGGTGATACTAAAACATTGCTGAATTCTGCATGTAGGCTGAATTCAAGCTTTCTTTGAGCTCAAATCATTCCTTTTGGACTGTAAACTGCTTCTCAGTCTACCCGAGTAACACCTGGAAACAAACCCTTGCCTGGGTCCTGGTGAGGAKCCCTTCAGAAAGGGTGCTGGCCTTTTCCAAAGGCAGGATACTGTCCTAGGTGGGCGCTGACATGCGGTGTGCTGCGTGTTGCCCTGTGCTCTTCCGTGTTTGTGCTGGGAAGTGCAGCCGGGTACAGTTACTTTTCTTAAGTTTGGCTCTGCAAATTGGAGAAGTGACTAGTGTGTTAGTAGTGYGGAGTCACCTTAGAGGGTGGCATGTTAAAAATGTCCCCTGGGCCTGGCCCCGTAGCATGTTTGTGGCCGGGGTTTGGGGCAGCTGCTGTGGCTCTTGGTTGGGCTTGATCTTGTGATTGTTCTTAAAGGTCTTTTCCAACCATAAGGATTCTGTGGTGGTGCTTAAAGGTGTGATGTGGGAGCTCGGCTTTATCCTTGTCATCTAAGCTGCTGTACAAAACTGCAGTGCTTGGAGACCTAGCCTGAGACTTGCAGCCTTGCCGGCGCTCGTGTATTGCTCTGCGTACAGGCCTTTGAGTTTGTGCCACAGTAAACTAGTGTCACTCTTGAGAGGTCAGAACCGGACACACAGCCCTAGGTGAGAGCTGCGTCTGTGAGTATTCCTCCTAAGTCAACTCTGAYGAGATGCAATGCAAAACTTCAATTCTACCTGAGAATTGAAGGGAAAGAGAATTTTTGAGAGGCTGGGTGACCTCACCTTTCCAGGAGATTCTCTTCTTTTCCCGTGGTGCTGTGTGAAGGCTGCTCTTCCCGTGAGTACGTGRGAGCCCTGCTGCTCTTGAGCTGCAGGGTAAACACAAGGGGAGCTGTGGAGGCCGATCAGATAGTAGGAGTTGTTCAAGCTGTGGGCCCTGTGTAGTTGCTTTTTTCCCTGTGTAGGAAAGATGAATGGTAGGTTGTGGTCTTGCAAGTAAAATCTGACTCCTTATTGTTGTACTCTCCCTAGCAAAGCTTAGTTTCTTCTGCATCCTGTTTTTGTATCTATAGTGTATATGTGTGTGTGTGTGTATATATATTATGTGTGTGTATATATATATATAAATACTGGACTAAAAGAGATACAAGGTGGAGAGAATTAGATTGTTTGTTTTTTGGTAGATGTAACTAGGCAAAGTGAGTACTTGAAGCATTGGTCTTCTCCAGAAGGTTTGAGGTCAGTAGTATTTGAAAATGGATTTGTGCAGTTACTGAGGCTCACTGGGAAAAATTCGGGGGTCCTGTGTCCGTGTCCTCCCACGCCTGTCCCGAATTTGTGCGTGTGCAGAGTTGCTTCCTTCTCCCTAGTTGTGAACCAGCTTACCACGAAAGCCTTCAGGTGACACAGAGGTGTCGGTGGAGCGGTGTGAGACCGACTGCGCATGCCGGTGTGGATGGTGGACTCCAAGGTAGATGAGCAGGGTCTGGCTCTTCCAGCTGTGCGGGAGGCTCCGTGGGGGCACTGGAAACCTTCAGGCGTGCATGGTGGCAAGCAAGGAGGTTCCCACCCACAGTCTTCAAAATGTGGGAGCCTTTGTTGGAATCACGGAATGGTTGGAGTTGGAAGGGGCCTCTAGGAATCCAACCCCTCTGCTCCAGCAGGGACACCCAGAGCACGGGGCACAGGGTGGCATCCAGGCGGGTTTGGAAGTTCTCCGGAGCAGGAGACTCCACAGCAGCCTGTTCCAGGGCCCTGATAAATCCGAGGTGGGGCCTCACTCTGTGTTTTGGTATCCGGCCCCTTGGATAGGGGGTTGCAGCCTGTGAATAACAAGAGGAGGCCAAGCTGTGAGATCCCTCCCACAGCTGCCTTGGCTCCRGGCTCGTCCTTCAGTGCCGGTGCCTTCCACAGGCTCCAGATAAACCCTTTCCCTGTGGATAAGCTGGAGCACCGGCAGGTGGGGGAAGAACAGGCAAGTGTTGCCTGGGTGCTACATTCAGCTCTCATAATAGTTGCCTGCTRTTTATATTTAGCTTCCCAGACTGAACCAGCGTGAGCAAAAGCCCAGCCTGTTCAGGCGCAGCATTTTTACCTCTTTCRCAAAGTCACGCAAAGCAGGTCAGTGGCTGAGCCAGAATTAGAGCAGCTAAGCTTGATTTCAGGGCTTTACTTCTATTTCCACTTACCATTAAAGCTTTTCTTCCTGAGCAAGATGAGCAGGAAAACCAGCCCATGCCGATACATTTAGGAGGAGCAGTTTGCTTGCCTAGTGGCAGTGTCAGCGTTTCTGCGTGAAATTTGGTTCTCGGTGCCTTTTTTCCCTTGTGACTTGGAAGAAAATTTACTTTTAAACTGAAATATGGTATAGCTCAAAGCATTCTGAATTGTTTGGTACATCTAGCTAGAGAAATTCTGAAGCCTTTAATAGGCTTTCTTCAGACTAAGATTTGTGCAATACAAATACTTCATGAAAAAATGAAATTGGACGTGAATTGTGAGTTTTCCTGGGATAGCAGCTGTGTGGCTGCACGAGGCCTTGCATTTTCAGTTCACCGTTTGGTGATAAAGGCAACAGGGCCACTGACGCTTCCTACGCTGGAAAGACCTGACTGTCCTTGAAACAGATAGATCCACCACAGCAGGAGCAGCCAGGGAGCTGCAGCAGTACAGGGGTTAAAAAGAAGTCTAACGCATAGTGTGTCTGGATTGAAGTGGCCCTATCTTTCTGTGGCCTGCAGATAATGGTGTATTTAGTATCTTGATAATGCTGGGGTTTCTTAAATTCTGTATTTTAGCCTTAATGAAAGCAAAAGTGATGCGACTGGCTGTTACTTGAACATTCACTTAGCCTTTCAAACTATTAAACTACAGTAGATAACCAGAGGTTTGTACTAAATATTTCTAAATATTTTCCTTTTAAGATACAGCTTTGCTTTTTGGGCTGCTGACAATGGCTTTGTAGGGTTAGTTCCCTTAGAGTACCGGAAAAACATACCCTGATATAGCCATGATATCTCTAGCATCAGTGGCGGCGTTCTTGGAGTTGGCACGTGGTTGGCTTTGGTATTAAAAACATTGTGCCTGTTTTTTCTTTCTTTCAGGAGCTGAATGATCTGGCACGTGATCCTCCAGCACAATGTTCAGCAGGGCCTGTTGGTGATGACAGTAAGTACTCCRGGATCTGAATGTTAAAGCACCAGACACTTGACTCGCTAGCTTGCTCTTTCCTCATCTAGGAGAGCCCTTGCAGTGTTTTTTGTTAAAAATGTGCTCAATAGTAGTTTAGGTATAAACTCTATACTCCTACCCTTCCATATTCCTTAATACTTTTCTCATAAATCACTGAAGATTCCTCAGTCACTTCAGGTTGGGCAGCTGTGGACGTAAACACATCTTTAAGCTGCTTGGTTTTAAGTTAGTCTTCTATTTTTACACTGTGTGCTCTCTCCAGAAGCTTTTAAATTGCAGTAGCTCTCTGGGCAAAGTGGCAAAGCAGCTCCTTACAGCTTCCAGCCTGATTTAGTGTCTAAATTATATAGAGTGTAATCACAGCATCCTGGAAAGACATCAGTCTAGTCCTCACATTACTACAGTGAGGTCAGGGTTAAAAGTATTTAACACAGGAACTGAAGTTGCCACTGCTTTTTATGAAAGGGTTMCATGTAATTCGGAGGGATAAGAGGGCAAAATGTGAATGTAAGGGCAACTAATTAGTGAATTAAAGCTTGAATCATGCAGTAATTTGAGCGTTTTTGTAGTTTGTCAGTGAGTTATAGGAATACTGGAAACATCTCTTGTTCTTTAATCTGTTTTGCGTTATTATAGGGCACATCTGAGTATAAGAGCTGAAAATCAGGCTTGGCTCTTCTCCAGTTTTAAGCAGGAGTCTGCTCAGCCTGGCTTATTGCTTCTGGATCGCTTGCTAAGCAAAATCAGGCTGTTTCAATCCTGCTGTAATCAACTGACTTGTCACTTGGTTTGGACCTGGCCTCAAATGAGATACGGAAGTGCAGGTAGCGCATCCGTAAATCAGATGGCCCTGTTAGTGTTAAAAATAGTCCTCAGATCAGTTGGCACAGGCTGGTTCCATATGTCTGGAAATCTCTTTGGCATGCGTGTCAGCTGGTGGTCTTTCCTGTTTCAGTCTTAGAGAAAGTTGCTCTCCTGGTGTGCGTGCTTTGAACTTGTTGTTTTCTCCTTCTTGAAGCTCTTAAAAACCGAGAAGTGTTGAAGCAAGAGAAAATGTGTGTTGCTTAAAAAGCCTTACTCTTCATTTTCCTTTTCAAATAACACCCTTTATAGTGTAGGGAATAAAAGCTACTGCTATCCAGGCCTGCCTTGGGCTGGGGAGAGGAAGATGTATTGTTAACTAAGTGGTCTCTATATGGATGCCCTCTTTAAATCCACTCTAGGTGATGTTCCCTGTCTGATTAGCTGTGAATCGGGCACCTCAGTGAGCTGTGGGCCTGTCCCTCATGAAATTTTTCATAGAATGCCTTAATTTTAACCTGAGAGCGGGCTTTTCTCTAGGCTTATACTTTTTTGGCAAGCTACTTTTTCTTTTTTTGGTAGTGCTATATGACTTTTGCTTTAAATTCGCCTTTTCTGTTTTTAGGAAGGGCTCCTAGGCAATTGCACRTGTTTGCATTGCACATACCTTTGCATCAATGTTTAATATATGAAACACATAAGTAGAAATCAATGTATGTTTTTCATTTAGCAGCTTTGCCATATAGGAAAGCCCATGTAATGAACGCTTCAACCRACTTAGTTCTGACTGATAGGTTGTTTAAAAAATGGTGGATTTATAACTTCTTGTGCAATATCTCAGACAAATGTGCTGTTCAGCCTAGTGTTTGACCTAGAGAGTAGGAAATAATGAAAATTCAAGTTTACTGCTTCAAGATTGAGGTAGTTTTGTGTTYTAAGATCTTAAATTTACGCATCCTTTTCTAAAAAGGAAAAAAACCCTACTGAGACTGAGTCACTTTTGAATGAATACTTGAGTGCTGAAGTATATAGACCTACTATTTAAAAAAAAAATCTAAGACTAAGTTAAAGACAGATTCAAGCATGAAAAATACTTGAAAATGTAGCCTGTTTTAGGGATGCTTTTGATCAAGTCAGAGCTGCATTTACTTGGGAGGGCTCTAACAGTTGTTTCGGGCCGCTTGTATTGCTCCGTAACTTCTGTTCTCAGTGTGCTTGGAAGTGTGCAGCTGTAGAGCTGTATAGAGGGGGTTAGTGAGCCGCAGGGCCAGCCTGCGGCTGCTCGTGCCGTGGACTTGCAGGGGGGGCTCAGGCCGTGCTCTGCTCTCGGGAAACAGCTTATCAAAGCGGAACAGCTCTGATCTGTTGGAAAAAACAGTTCATCAAAGATACTGGGGACAGTCTGCTGGAGGAGGTGGGAAGGTGAAATGCTGAATGCAATGGAAAGTTGCTTTCAAGCTTTCTGGGTTCAACAGTGTTAGTAAATTCATGTGTCTTCATGCACCTTTCCTTCTGGGAGAGCTGTTGAAAGGGTTTCGCTGTGGAGAACTGAGGTGTTGAGTTTGAGTATCTGAGGAGAAGTGGAAAGGGGAYTTCTCCCATAGGCAGCCCAGGGGGCTGCTTCCGACTCCGCTGCCTTGCCAGCATGAGGCTCCTAAGGCCTGGAGCCTCCCGTGCCTGCCAAGTGCCGCTTTTTTTAGTCCTGCCCATTAATTTGTTCCCTGTTACCAGCTTCTTGCCCCTGTATTTCATATCTTTTAAAAAGAGAAAAGCTGCTGACACCCTGTTAACCTCAGAGATAACTCTCCTTTCAGTAGTGCGGACTTATGTCCCTCTTTCCTTCTCCCCAGCCCCATTTGTTTTGGAATGACCCTTCTGATGGGGTTGTGCTGCCAAAGCTTTCATGTGTTTCCCAAATGCTGCCCAGTGCCTTAGTTCACTTCCACGCAGGTGCCTCCGCTCAGCGATTGAATGTCAGGTTTTGGTTTTTGTTTTAGATATTTTTGAATGTTTGGCTTCAGAGTAAATAATGGATTTAAGTTTTGCTTTTGACATCTTAAAGTTCCTCAAACTTGTCCCGAATGTTGTGAGAGTCAGAAGTTAAATTAAGCCATGTGGGTTTATCCCAGCTGCAGGATGGGTGTCAGAAGGATGCGCCCATTAATCTGTGGAACATCAAGGCTCACTGGGAGAGCTCTCCCATTCCTTACGACTCTCTAGGGTGATACTGGCTGTATCAGCTTGTCTTTTTAAGCATGCAGGTTATGTGCAAGTTAACATCCACACCAAGSTACAAACCTGATAATACTCCTGTTCTCCCTTAGTCTTGGCTGTTTCTACTCCACTTTTTTCCCCTCTTGTGTGGAAACTTGCTTGGCTGTAATGCCTGTACTGTATGATTAAAAGCCACCCGTGCTAGAACAGGTAGCRTCCCCGTGGGCCCAGATTACTCTCACACAGGTAGCAGCCTTAAAGGCAGTAGACAGGAGTTGCGGGTTATTTATAACCTGTGGATGCTTTCARCTCCTATATGGCAGGTAGGGATTAAGGAAGACCTGTTGGCAACAGCCCATGTTCGGTACAACTGTCGTGCTCTGAAGATACCCTAGGTCTATAACTGGGGTCCATGTGGAGGGAGAGCGCCTGCAGTGCTCTTCAGCAGCTGTTAAACTGCTGCGGCTCGAGTGGACCCTCGCTCCAACCTTCAGCGAAAGCGGAGGAATCCCAGAGGGATGTTGCTCTGCATGAGCATTTCCTCTATTTCCTCTCTTAACAGCACTGAGCTTGCTTTTTCTCTGCACCTTAAAGGCATTCCCCACAGTCCTCTATCACTAGCCTTACATATTCTCCTGAACTTGTGAATGAGACTTAGTTTTTAATTGATTTAACCTACAGCATGGGCTAGCACATCCTCTTCTCAMATACTTGGCTGACTCTTCCTGTTTTCCTCTGTCATTCTTACCTCTTAAAAATGATCTTGCTTTCTGCTCCTCTGAAACGGAGGCAGAGTGGAAGCTCAGCTACAATAGGTGAAATGCTGCTTTTAGGTTGTCCATACACACGACACATGCAAGGCTTAGGCTTACCCTTGGGTAGACCACTCAACTACGAGCCCATAAGGGGGAGATGCTACCTAGTAAAGGATGTATTGGTGCTTTGCTGCAACTGGCTCGAAAAGGGTGCTGCAAGAAACTGGTCTTTGGTTCAGGTTCTTGTAGAAACCCATGGGAAACTACAAAATTGAATGGATGAGTCTGGAGGAGGTTTAAAATGTTGACTCTAACTGCCTGGCTTTCTGTGGTGAGGGGATGTTTGGGGCTGCGCAATGGGTGTGAGTTGCCATACGAGGCTCTGAAAGTGTAAATCAAATGAGTGGGAAGCATTGGACACTTCATCCTGCCTCTGTTTAGCTCTTTGGCTCGCTTCCCTGCAGCCTTTCAGAAGGTTTTGTTTTACAAATAGACTCCTGCATTGTAGCGCTTTGTCTGCAAGTAAGTAGCTCATTGCTTGAGCTTCTCCAAACAGAAACTCTAGTAAATCACTTTTTCTCTTTTTCAGTGTTCCATTGGCAAGCTACAATAATGGGACCAGTAAGTATGAAAGGATTGATGTTCACAGACTTTTTACTATCTTCTGAAGACTAGTTCTCTTGTAAACAGCTTCTCAAACTCAATCTTGCTTCTTCTTSGTTTGCAGAATGACAGTCCCTATCAGGGTGGCGTATTTTTCTTGACAATTCACTTCCCAACAGATTATCCCTTCAAACCACCTAAGGTGAGTAGCTTGTGCTGTAAATCTGTGTAGCACCATGTATTGTACTGTACATTTGTGAGCCAATACTGAAATTTCCCTTCTTCTGCAGGTTGCATTTACAACAAGAATCTATCATCCAAATATTAACAGTAATGGCAGCATTTGTCTTGATATTCTACGGTCACAGTGGTCTCCAGCACTAACTATTTCAAAAGGTACCTTGTATGCACACTTAATTTTACTCTGCTGAAGTGAATTACTGATTTGGGCTTAGAAYGTGGAAAAACTGCCATTTTTCTACTATTAACTGCTCTTATGAGCACAGCCTTGGTTATGTGGCCCCACATCTGCCTCGTATTTGACTTGAGTGCTGAATGCTCCCTGCATCTGATCTGCCTCTCTCCATAGGGAGGCTGCTTAGCTCTGCCACTGGATCAGGTAGGTCTGGCTACGCACTGTGGAGTAACATGGTCTGGGCACCTGTCCTTAGCAGATTGATTGCATTTGAGTCCAAATGCTTGAATGAAGAAATAACTTGAAACTAGTGTGTGAGAAACCATGACTTCTTTGGGGTCTAAAAAGCCACATGAGCGACAACATAGGAAAACAGGTGTGTTCTTAGAGTAACTGAAACCTACTTTTTTTTTGTCACCTAAGATGGATTTTTTTCCCCAAGAACATCAGAAATTAATTGCTTAGTTTTGAAAAATGGTTGAATAGGCTATGATACTGGGAAATTTGTTAAAAATAATTGACTTGGAATATTTCTAATGCTTCGAGCCAAAGAATTTTAGGTCCCTCTGGAAGATCTCTTGCCTGTTAAAGTAGTAGTCACATTGTTTAATGCAGGTCAGAAGTTTTCTAAACTGCTTGAAAGACGACATATATTTAATCTTGTTCTTCTAGCTGTTGGCTTGCAGGCATAGCCGTGGCAATTCAGAAAAAAAACTTTAGATCTTTTCTGCACATGGATCATGTCATGATCATTCACCCAGTCAGGTGACCCGTATGACCCTTCTCTTCCTTACAACTGTCTCTCTCTYAGCGAACCAGTGAAGTTCCTACCTTCTGTGTCCAGAGAGGCTTCTGCATTTGTAGAAGCAGCTGGGCAGGCAAAAAACAGTATCTGACATGTCCCTTGCCACAGGGAATCTGCTAGTGCATGAAGATTTTAAATTCTTTCAACTCACAGTGAAGACTTAAGAAATGGCATTAGTAAGGGGCAAAGGATTGTCAGGTTGACACCACTTTCCTTCTCGGTGCTCTCATTCCAGTACTAGCTTCTGTTTGAGGCAGAAAGATGCATTTGTGGGATTAAATTGTCTGTCTGCAGTGCTGTGGTTGGAGGATAGGTGACAGTGTGGCATAGTATTTTTTTAATTCATTTTAGAGATCTTCAAAAGCTGCTTGGACGCAGTCCTGTGCCACGTGCTCTAGGTGACCCGGCGTGTGCAGGGCAGTTGGGCTCGATGGAGGTCTAGTCCAACTAGAGATCCCTTCCAACCTTAAGGGTTCTCTGATTCCAAAGTAGCCTTAYCTAATGGGGTGGTAAATAGGGTATTTTCTAGTACTTTCAAGAACACCATTAGTAGGAGAAYTAAAAGCAAAATGATATTCAGTTCAAGTGGCTAGTGGAGAAATCATTGTGCTTTTTTGCTATGACTGTCCTAGTAAGTTGGGAGAGTCCCAAAGCTTCCTCTCTTGACATTAAGGGGGATAACTGTACCTGAGCTATGGCGAGCTCTGGGCTCTCTCCCCTGCTCTGAGGTCCTTCCCCTTCCCGTCRCCTCCCGGGCTCGCTTCAAAGCGAGTCTTCCAGCCTCAGCTAAAGCAACCCACAGCATCAGTGTAACCGCTTTGTGCTGCGGAGCCCCTTCCATCACCCTCCCTCGCACACGCTTCCTGTGCTCCTCTTCAACCCATCTCTTCTCAGGTACTGTTATTCCTGTGCATCTTTCACCTGTATGAGCCCCCAGACTCTGCTTTGTATGGCACAAAATGTGCACAACCTTAGATGCTGAGAAAAGCCTTTCCCATTGGCATTGGTTTCATGGCGGAATTAAAAGCAGCGAGAGAAATTCTTATGGATCACTTTACAAAAATTGAGAGCGTTTCTCTCAAAAATAACAAGGGTGCTTGTCAGAAAACACAGCCCAAACTATTTGAGGGAACACCAGATTCATAGACTGAGTGTTATCTTGAATAAACAGCTATATTTTGTAGACTTGAGCCTTTTAGGGTAGGCAGCTTGTTCCATCAAGTTCAGGCTCCTCAGGATGTCTGATCAAAGACCTGGCCAAGAGCGAATGTCCTGCTCATAGGAAAAGCTGTAAGATGAGGTAATTTAGGTGAATAACAAGCTTTGAAACGTTAGTAGTTAAGCTTGAAACTTGCGTTCCTGTTCCTTCAAAAGCAGTGACTTCATATTTGTAGCAGGAATTTCATCAAATATTTCCTGGATTGTGGTGCCTTTACAAGGGAGTAGCAGTGGGAGCAGGCGGTGTAAAAACTTCAGCTAAAGCATAGCTCAGAAGGGAGTATTTACACTGAGGGCATGCAGGGAGGATGCTGACCTTCTAGGAACCACTTCATCGCAAGCCGCTTTCTTCTGAGGTGTGCGGTAAAGATCAGTCAGCTGCCCGTGTGACTAGATAGTCCTTGCAATTACTGTGGAGTAGCCCAAAACAACTTGAACATCGTCCTGCCCTGCCCCATCCTGAGAGCAGGGAGGTTAAGTGGGGTGCAGTAGCTTGGGTTAAATCTCTGGCTTTCCTTTTTGGTGGAAACGGTGGGAAAGACTGTGTCCGTGCTACTTCACCATCCAATATATGTTTTATTTAGGGATCTTGGTTCCTCGTGCTCTAGAGGAAAGAGGTGACTCCAGAGGGGATTTGGAGCCTCTGGTTTGGGAGCCTGTCCCTSTTGTCTTAGGTAGTGACCTTGCTAACCTAGCCATCAAGGGACAGGGATTTTCATATTTAATTTCTTAAAGTAATCTTGGATACAACTGTAGGAGTCACTTACCATCTTGGGTTTGCTTTCTTTTTTTTTTTAATGTTTGTCCCCTCTTAAACTTGTTAAAGTGGGGTTTGAAGAATCGGGAGAATGATGCTGCTGTCTTGGTGAAATTGCAAAAGCTAAGTTGCTGCTACTAGTTATGCTGTAGTAATTACTCTGCAATGAATATTCTCCTCTTCAATTAATATTTTCATCTTAAACTACTGTTTTAAGTATGCACCTTGGTAGCTGATTTAAATGCCAAAACTTAAGCAGAAAACATAGACCGGTTGTATAAATGTTCTCTTACCATACTCACATATAACTGTAGTCTTGAAAGTCAGGGGAGAGCAAAATGTCTGAAACTGATTATAACTTTTTAACCATTTTGTGAAATATCAAAAAAAAAAAAGATAAGTGATGTGCTAGAGTTAATATTAACCATAGTACCCCTTTAGGAAAGCTTAGGACAACTTGCCCTGTCCCCTTGCACTTCTCCCCAGTATGTCTTGACAAATGATTTTGTTAAGGAACCATGGAATTATTCAGTGCGTTGGGAAATTCTGTGTACTGAGTGTGAGTGAGTAACTTCAGTTCCCCCTTGTGAGTTCAAATTAACACCATTTGCTCTCACATGCTTAGTGCAATGTGCATTTTCTGTTGCTKTTCTTACAGGTGAAGGTAGTTAACAGTTCTTAAGCTTTGGGAAACGTCACGTGCTGAGCAGTCTTTAAATGAGCTTCATCTTCCATCATCACTTGCATAGGTGAAGACTCAGCATTTCCATAGTTCAGATCACTAGGTCACTCAGTCCTAAACTCAAAAAATGAAGAACTTGGTTACTGATCCTCTTCYTGGGTTCTGTTTATTACGCTTCCCCAAGTACAGGGGAGAGAAGGAGCAATCACAGCTTTGCCACACCGTGATTTGAGCTAGGCCTTTTTGGGAAGCCAGTTCTAGCCCTTCCAGCTCTTTTGTGAACTTGTGTAACTGCCTAGGTGTGTTGCACTGGACAAAACTTAACCTTTCTTCTCTCATCTAGAAATTATTCAACTGCCTTCGCAGGAATTTAAGTTAGTTTGAGGCAAGAAGCTTAGACTACTCAGATTTAAAGCTACACTTACGTAAGACACGGTAAGATGGCTGAGTGTGAAATGGGCTTGTGGCAAAGAAGTGGGATCTACCTCAAGCAGAGTCCAGGGTTGCTTTTATGAGKGTTTACCCAGATGCGTCTTGTTCTTTCACAGTCCCGAGCCCGTCCCTAAGGAACTAATATCTGCAGTTACCCTTGGGAGAACAATCTCTTCAGGTGTGCTCTTAGGCTCTATACCTTTAACTCTTTAAAAAAAAAAWGGCTTAGCATGGCTTTGATCTTTTTTCAAAGTACCTTAACTGAAGTAAGGGTTTAAACTGTCAATAAAAAATAAGAATATAAATTCCTTCATCTGCTTGGTAGTGCATTAGGCAGCTGATCACTCATATGACACTGTTGCTTCCAGGGAAATGGTTTCATCTGAGTCACACCCTTTCCACTCACATGTTTCCTAGGACACCCTGTCTCTCTGAGCTTTAATTCACGCTGTGGCTATGCCTGTGCTAGATCCAGTTCCTGCCATTCAGCTTCTGCCTTGTGGCCCTCCCAAGAGTCCTGACAAGCTGAACCCCTCATGTCAAGAAAATACATCCGTGTAGGGCAGGATTTTTCCTTCCCATTCAGTCTTTTTAAGGTGGTTGAGAACTTGCTCTGATCTTACCAGTGATTCAGCCATCACTTACTTGCTCTGTGCTTGTCCCCCGAAAGAAAGTCCATAAGTCATAGAGGTCCCTCAGTAATGCACCTTAACCAGGAGGAGCTGCAACGGATAAGAGAAATGGAGCAGCTGAATAAATCTTCCAAAATGGAATTTATTGCTGATTTATTGATATGTGTCCACAGCTGTAACTCAYGCTAGCAGAGGTGTTTCAGACTCCCCAGAGTAACTAGCTGGCAAATCATGGTCCTATCCAGAAACTGACTTTTGTGTTTGATAGATGGGGAAGCCCAGTGCTGCAGGGCAGAGCCTGTGGCCTCTTTGTCAGGGTGATAACATCTTCTTGCTGTCACGGGGAACTGAAGTGGCAGATGTTATAGCAGTATCTGGAACAGAAGAGGCAAGGACAGGCTTTCCYGGGAGAGTGAACTTGAGCTGTGGGCACTGTGTAAGGGTTAGTGCTTCCC